AGATTAAAAAAACGATTTAACAAGAAGCAAATGTTAAGGATTTCAATAGGATCTAGCTGACTAGAGAAGATTTTAATAACTCTTATGCTTAAAGAATATTATACCATTAAATTTCTAACAAAAAAAAGGATATATACACTAAAGTCCTAATATTTTCAACGATTTGACAAGAAAGTCCTAAACGTTATTTTTTTGACAATAAAATCATAATTGACGATTTGACAAGAAAGTCTTAAACTTTATTTTTTTTGACAAAAAAAATCATAATTACCGGCTAACCGGGAAAAAAGGGTAAAAGTGTCAAAAACTGCCAGTAATTTGGACTTTACTGTCAAAAAAATAAAGTTTATGCCTTTCTTGTCAAATCGATGAAAGTATTGAGACTTTAGTGTATATATCCGAAGTTTTGATATTACACACGTAAATCTCATTTCGTTTTCACCTTTCGTTTTCTATTAAACTGAAGGGTTTTAATGTAATTTTCTGAAGAGATAAATATGTGTTTAGTTATTTCGCCACATTAATTTTCTTAGCCGTTGGAAAATAGGTTTTGCCCAAAAGAAGGAAACACGTATAAAACTTTTGCGACTCGGCGGTGTGTTGTCGCCGGCTGCCATTGAAGAACATACCTTCTTCACCACTCTGCTGCTCAATCGGTCATTTTTTGGATAGAGGATGCAAGAAAAGGTATCTGAGGAAGAGATGGTGACACCAGGAGAAGTACTGGGGAAAGGAAGCGAAGTGAAAGCAGGGAAGGGAGCATATTTGTCACATCATAATAACACCGTCTACGCCTCCCTCACCGGCCGCCCTTCCCTCTCCGCTGCGTCACCTGAATCTCCAGACCAGGTTATACACATGTACACATCTACATATCAAATAATATTATGGTGCTTAATTAGAATACTACTTCGCCCGCCTCAAATTCACCGGCTTTAATCATCAAAATTGATGCGATTTCTCTATGATTTTGATGCATTTTGAAAGAGTATTGTGAAGTTAATGCCAACTTAATGGTTGTACTAAATTTAAATAAGTTTACCTCAAATGTTTAGGGCACAATTTAGTTTTTAGCATTGGAAAGAGTAGATACCTTATAACTTGTCCCTTTTAGATGGGTTGTGCACTTGTTAGGATCCAAAATTGATACAAAGTTTAGAGGTGTTGAATTAAATATTCATTTGATTATGGTCGGATAGCTTGGTAATTGTCACTTACTCCAAATTTGATACAAGTTTTAGAGGTGTTGAATTAATATGATAGATCCTTGTTGAATCTATCGTAAACCCCAGGCATTCTAACAGATTCACAGCAACAAAACACTCA